CCTGAGAAACTATCCAATCAGACTCCGATTCCCAAACCGATCCTGAGAAACCATCCAATCAGACTCCGATTCGCAAGCTAATCCTGAGAAAGCATCCAATCAGACTCCGATTCCCAAACTGATCGTGAGAAACTAGCCAATCAAACTCTGATCTCCAAAACCTGCCCTGGCATGCTATCCAATCAGGTTTTGATCCCCAAGACAATTCTGACCCATGCCTTATAATATTCAATGGATGCATGTGTGTTATAGTTCACTTGTGTTGCTAAGGCAATGTGTGCTTTACACAACTTTGTAGCTTGGAGCTGGACAGTGATGGTAGAGGCTCCAACTTTCCTTCTATCATAGGGCTTACCTGGAATCTCTCCCATTCTTACCTTATATCATTGTACTCAACCTGTTTGGCTACAGTATGAAATAACAAGGTGTAGGGCTGGATGAACACAGCAGGCCAAGCAGCATCATAGGAGCAGGAAGGCTGATGTTTCGGGCCTAGACCCTTCATCAGAGTACGAATACAGCTTCTTTGGTCTCAAGCCCTGAAATGGGCTTGAACTTGCAGCTTCTGGCTCAGAGGCAGCGACGATACCCACTGAACCACAACATTTTCTCTTTAGCCAAGTATTCAACCCACACCTAATCACACTATATCAAAACTCTGCAATGTTTAACTCACAGCCTGACATATCTGTAATATCAAAATTACACCCTGGAGAACTGAAACTGAGTTACTTAGACTAAACCTTGTAATATCCAACTTAGTTCAATTCCACAAATTGCACAATGCAATACATTAAATTATCCCCTAACATTCTTGTTTTGCAATACCCAACCTACACCTTCAAATATTCAAGCTATGACCAAGCTATGACACTTGAAACACCTTTGGAAATACAATTACCCTGAAATACTCAGTATTCTCTAAAATAGTCAAGTCACATCTTCAAATTGTATCCTGAAATACTTAATCAACACTATGTGACAGTCGATGTTCTCTAAAATACCCGCACCATACCTTGAAAGACTCAATCTGCACAATGATACACTCAAAATGGCACACTGAAATTTTCAACCCACATCCTAAATTTCAGCTTTCCCCTTTGTAATACACAGCCTGCTCTCAACGATAGTCACCAAGGTGCATGCTGCACTCTTTCGGTCGTCTATGCTGTGTGATGCTGAGGCAGCACCATGTTATCTAACCTGCATCTGCGATTTCGAGACAGTGATGTACAACCTGCAGCTTTGTGGCCTGTGGTACATGGGCTGCTACCTGTGATATTCACCTTACTGTCTCCATTCTTTAGTCTGCTTCCCTGCATCTTAGTTAGCAACTGATGAAAAGCAGCTCGCTCTTTCAGCACAATTTGACACAGAAATATTTTGATAATAAAATTTGATATGAGTATTTAAATGTGTAGTGTGAAGTGAGGGGAGAGGATGGAGTGAGGAACCCACTCAGAGACACCCCATTATGTTGCAGTGTCAGTCTTTGCACCGGTGTTCATCAGTCATTGCTCTGAGTTTAACCCTTTGCTGGGAGGTGCCCTAATGTTTATCTGCTTCACTCATTAATTATTGTAGTAGCACAAAGACAAATGGAAGGTCTAATATAGAGTTTATTCACAGAATACAATCAATAAAGAAACATTCTTTGTGTTCCTAGCACTGCTCTCGGTGAGCTCTCCAGCACTGACTGTTAGCTTTGGCCATAGGTGCTCTATACACCTAATTTGGAGCCAAAGATGAGTATTTCTCCGTCTGTTGTGTTAAATGTGTGAACGGCTTCTTGGGACCCAAGACTGGGATTGTGGGTGGGGCAAGGAACGAAAGCAAAACCAATGCACTCAGACACACAGGTGAGAGCAGCCTTTGTTAACTGTTTACTGTGACTGACAGGTCGATGTGGAAACCTATGGTCATAACCCTTTTCAGCTCAGCTTCCTCCAGAACCACAGTGGCTTGGAGGTGAGAGGTCAGAGGAGGGAGAGTGTAGGGTGGGAGGTTAGAGGTTGGGTTCGGGGGAGGTTGTACAGTGCTGACGTGCAGAGACAGCTGGCCCAGGACGATCACTCCTGGTGCTGATTTTGGCTGGGTTGACACTGCACAAAAGCTACTAACATGCCTCTGATGTCACGGAGGTTTGGGGCAGGTCTGTGGCTTAGGTGAGGATGTTTGCAATTAAAAATAAGTGCTACTAAACCCTTCTCTATTTATCTAACAATCAAAATCGAAACTTCAGGTTAAAAAAAATGCTCTCGCCAGATGCTGTGTTCTGGTGAAAGATTGAGGGCACTGGGCAGGGCCAAGAATGAGGGCCTCAATAGGCTGCTGGATAGTGTGGTGTGCATCTAGAACACATTAAGCTTTACCAACCTCGAGAGGGCAACACTTTAAAACACTTGCTGCTTTGGCAATGGTTTTAGGCGTCGTATAATACTGGGGTGGAAAAAGAAGCAATTCCGAGGTCGTAGTCAAGAATGTGCAGGTTGCTTGGCAACACTGCCTCTCAGGCAAAACTATCAAGACTGCATAATACTTGCCACTCAACCTGAATTTGATACCTTTGATTTCACAGAAAACACAGAAACTCCCAGATGAGATAATGCAGTTATAGATAATTTACCATATAGGTTGCTGAGAAAGAACAGCAAGTTGTTCAGTCTTGGAGTAATCCTTTTTTTGGTCACAAATGTTACTCTGTGACATGGGGAAGGGCCTTCTCTCTCTCTTCCTCTACATGATGACACAGGAAGACAATGGGTTTCGGAGCTGGCAGCTGCAGGCTGCCCCACAATACTGCTGGAAGGTCTGGTAGCAGCTGCGGTCAGCCTCACTGCCCCACTGGCCCGGATTGGTGGTGAGGCCTTCAGCTGGCAGCCGGGCCAGGATGCTGGTGTTGATTGCCAGAGCCGCCAGGCCATAGTCGGTGAAGAGCACGGTCTCCCGGCGGCAAGTGGGGCACGAGATGAACTTGTACTTGGGGCAGGACTCGTAGAGGATCTGCAGGCACTCCTCGCACACCGAGTGTAGACAGGAGAGGATTCGTGGACGTTTGTTGGTGGCATTGTACACATGGCCACAGGTGGGGCATTCCAGGGGTTCAGAAGTGGTTGACTGGTGAAGAACGTACTGATTAACGATGACCTCATCCGATGGGGTCTGCCGGTGGTAACACAGTTCGGCACTAGCCTTGCGATGGCCCTGGACAAATTTTTCGCGGCGGGGTGGTGTCCGGGCCAGCCCGCTAGGGCTCCGGGCTTTCTCCAGGGTGGGGACGTCAGCGCAGGCCTGGTTTGCGATGATCTCGGACTCTAGGGGCCAGGCACACTTTCCCACAAGTGGCGGTTCACGGACACACTGTGAGGGCCCGTACCGGCCCTGTGAGCTTGAGCACTCTGCAAACTTCTCCACTGGCACAATCTTCACTGCCTCCATCTTGATGGCAGCCTGCTGCTGTTTCAGGCACGCCATGGGCTAGGGGTCTGAGAGTCCCAGCTGCGATTAGGCAGCTTGCTTCACAGGTAGGGCCTGCACTCCCTTCCCTGTCTGACCATCTCTGCACCTTTGCAGGTTTCTCTCTTTGCACCAGGAGTCTTCACTATCCATACAGTCAATTCAGGCTGCAACACAATCTGTAAGAAACATCCTGAATCGTTTGCACAATCCACATCGGTTTCAAACACGCTGCTCTTTATATAATGAAGCTAAGGTGTACTGAAAGTCAGCTTTTATCTCAGTATGTCCCGACTTCTCTTCCTCTCTTGGATGCTCACTCTCTTAACGGCAGTGAATGCTGCAATATGAGCAAAATGAGCAGGCGAACACTGCAAACATATCCCAGAAGAAAGCTTTATGACAGAACTGAGTGAACGACACAGAAGCTCTCAGCTAAGCAATAGGTGAACTGTAAGAAGATGCTTGCTTGAATCACGTTACCTGCACTTGTAGTAAATCTGGTGCTTCCAGTTTTCAATTGAGCAGTCCTCCTTCTAGCTGCACAGTGTCTGTATCTGTATTGACAGTAAGGGCAGTGGCTGCTCTGCAGCTTGCTCTCTCTCTCTCTCTCTCGGTCTGTCTCTCGGAGCCCTCTGTTTACCTCCGATGGCAGTATTGTCTGCAGCAGCACTGCAGTACTGCAGCGAGCTCACATTTCTCTCATTCAGCAGTGTAGGGACTACAGGCCGCAGTACCTCCACACAGGCTACCTTTGCAACTGAAACCAACCTCTAGCTGCTCGTCTTTTTCATTCATCTGCCTAACCTTCAAAGGGTTTGAGCTGTGTTGCAATCGATGCTGAGAAAGCAGAGGATGATGCTGTTGCCATTTCCTTCCTGAGTCACAGTGGCTTAGTGCTGCTACTGCAAGAGAAGGCAGCTATTCCCCTGACTACTTCACACCCTCCTAGTCAGCGAGGTCACCTCTAGATAGTTCACACACTTAACCCCTCCACTCTCCCTCTGTGTTCAATGTTGACTGCTGTCTTCTGACACATCTGACTATCTGCAGTTTGATAATGGGCAATGATGAAAAGGAAATAATATTTGTTTTTAGTCCCTTTTGAAGTCTGTTTGACATGTTTTTACTCTCAAAATGTCTCAATACAGTGACATTTATTGAATGTTTGTGACAATGGCATTTGAATTTTCAAGACAAAGGGGACCCAACAAAATGTTTAATTCCATGAGGTGCTGCCAAAGAAAATTAAAGTGAATGTTTTCAGTTCATTAAGAAATTTCAACTTAAGGATGAGTGTTTACAATTCAGAAAATGACACAGATCAAACAGATTGGCAGAGAAGACAAGATAAATTTTGAAGTTGTGAGAAACCGATACTAAGTTTGAGTTTTAAAACCCTGCTGATTGCAAGCTGACAGTCGGTTGATGAGAGGAAAGGGTGTTCTACACTGTGCTAAAGTACACTGAGTCCTCAGAATAGTTTAGGACAGAACTTAATGCAAACAGTGCTTTACAAAGACATGGAATAACTCAAGGAGAGAAAAGAATAAATTCTGATCCAATGAGAACAAGGTATGAAATGTATGGAGACAAAGGAATGACATCTGGGACATATAGAGACAGTGAAAAGATTCCCCAAACACCAAAGGACATTTGGACTCTTTCCTGGATTAATGGGCTAAAAGCCTTGGCTATCCCCTGCTGTTACGACTTGTAAATTAAATGTATGTGGACACTCTGAACTCGGAACCTTGCATTTGGTTTGGAGTTTTTAACTCAAGGCTGGCTGTGCTTTTGGTGGGGGAGAGGGGCCTGTAAGATAGGTTAGGCAGCACACCACCTTCCCAATGATCCTTGAGGTGCCCTCATGATACCAGACTGCGGGTGAGGTTGACATTGGGTACATACTTATTCAATAGCCTTCATTGTGGGTAAATAATTAATAATTACTTAGGCCTCAATATTATGTTGCCCTTGTTGTAAAATGGTTGGCATTGGCAGATAAGCAGCTTGATTTTTTTTTAATAAAGCTTTCAAAAGAGTGGAAGTAAAAGTGGTACAATTAATGGAGGGTGTCCTTTGTACATCAGGGCACCCCCCTCAAAGATGATCCTCACCTTTCCCACCTCTCCATCTAGAATTGAAACCTACACTCTTCACCCTCTTGCCCTGCTTGCTAAGATGCTTGAAACCTCTCCACTCAGTGCTCTCAACTTATCTCGGTCTGAGATCCCATTGGCCTCTATCCTGGGAATGCTCACAGGCCCAGCAATGCCCACTATTGACTCCTTGTGCTGCTGGCACTGCAGGAGTTGAAGATGGGTATTTCTCCCACTGCCAGATGGAACTCACAAAGCTAGCATCCACGTTCAGCAGGTAATAGGGAAGGCAAATGGGATGTTGGCCTTTATTTTAAAGGGAATTGAGTGTAAAAGTAGGGTGGTCTTGCTAAAATGATACAAGGCACTAGTCTGACCAGAGCTGGAATTCTGTGAACAGTTTTGGGCCCCTTATCTAAGGAAAAATATTCTGGCATTGGAGGCAGTCCAGAGAAGTTTCACTCGGTTGATGCTGGATTTGGAGGGACTGTCTTATGAGAGGAGGTTCAGAAGGTTGGGCCTACTCTCATTGGAATTCAGGAGAATGAGAGGTGACCTGATTGAAACAGAAAAGATTCTTAGGGGATATGAAAGGGTAGATGAGAGAGGTTGTGTCCCTTTGCAGGAAAGTCTAGGACCAGAGGACATCATCTGCTTAAAACAGAAATGAGGAGGAATTTCTCCTCTCAGAGGAAATTGAATCTCTGGAATTCATTGCTGCAGAGGGCTGTCGGGACAGGGTCATTAAGTGCATTCAAGGCTAAGATTGACAGATTCTTAATCAGTAACGGAATTAGGTTTATGGGGAAAAGGAAGGAAAGTGGAGCACTTGAGGATTATCAGATTGGCCAAGGTTTCATTAAATGGTGGAGCAGACTTGATGGACCGAATGGCCTACTTCTGCTTCTACATCTTATAGTCTTATGACCATGCTGGATTGTGGGGTATACTGGAAACCACCATTGCAATGCTGCTGCAAGGATACTTTACTTGCAGGAATATGCATCCAGCTCAGAGTTTGGATTAGCCTGCATTTCAGTCCTGCTCACTTGCTCTTTTAGTGCTCATTCATATTAAGCTCAGCTGGATGGTCAGAGCATCCCAGCCTGGCCTTGCATTGCCTTGTCTTTTTTCTGTATGTCCCATCAGTCAGAGCTACCAGGGTCACAGTATATCTGTTGCCTTGGTGTTTTGCAGACACAAAGCTAGGAAGCTTGTCATGGATGCCAGCAGTTATCCGTCAAGTCAAAACAGATACCCTTCAGCCAGGAGATCCCGGCACAGTAAGTCAAAGGCAAACTCTGATACCAGTCCAGGGTCTTGGATATGGTCAGTCAGCTGCTTAGTGTGATCAGGGTCAGCATCCTCTCTTCGTAAAAGGGCAAGATCTGAATGTCAACACCCATCGTCCATTTTTGTTCTTTCTGCCCTGCTTTGGCTGTTTCTCATACAAGAAGAGAAAGATGGGTATTAAGGCTGATGCCAAATTCCCCTTTTCTGCCATGTCTGCGGCAAATGTCAGGAACTGTGCAGGTCAGCTCTGGCCTGACAGTGCACACCAACCATTTAAAGATGGCATGAGTGACAGGAATGCCGGCTTAGTTTAGAATATCCAGGCACTGGTAAAATCTAGTCAGCGTTGGATAAGAGGGGCACCACTGGGCCACAGTTGGAGGTAATGAGACAGGTTTGGTAAGATAGCAAGAAAAAACTCGTTAGGGCTCATGGACAGAAACTCTCCGTGAAACCCGGCAACTGAGAGCCAGAAAATGTAAGATTCAGCCTATTGATACAAACCCTGGATTCTAGAAAGGAACTCCTCAGTTCATAGGTGACATGAGGTCTTATTATGGGTTTGAGTGATGTTACTGAACTCAGAAGAATATCTAGTGGTGATACAAAATTTATAGTTGACAACCTGAAATAACACACAGATGCACTGCAGAAACTCAATAGGGTGGCTAGACAGCACCTTCCAAACTCATAACAGCTACCAGCTAGGATAACTAAGGCAGCAGATACATGGGAACACCAACTCCTGAAAGACCCCTCCAAGCCAGTCACTGTCCTGACTTGGAAACGTAGAGTCATGGAGTCATACAGCACGGAAAAAGACCCTTTGGTCCAACCAGTCCATGCCAACCATAACCTCAAACTAAAATAGTCCCACCTTCCTGCTCTTGGCTCATATCCCTCCAAACCTTTCTTATTCATGTACTTATCCAAATGCCTTTTAAATGTTGTAACTGTACCCACATCTACCATTTCCTCTGGAAGTTCATTCCACACATGAACCACTCTCTGTGTAAAAAAGTTTCCCCTCAGGTCCTTTTTAATTTTTTCTTCACTCACCTTAAAAATATGTCCCCTGGACTTGAACCCCTCTAACATAGGGTAAAGAAACCTGCCATTCACCTTACCTGTAGTCCCCATGATATTAAATTGCTCCATAAGGTCACTCCTAACCTCCTACACTCCAGTGAATATAGTCCTAGCCTATCCAGCTTCTCCTTATAATTCAAACCTTCCATTTCCAGCAACATCTTTTCTGAATCCTCTCCAGCTTGATAATATCCTTCCTGCAACAGGATGACTAGAACTGGACATAGTATTCCAGAAGAAGCCTCACTGATGTCCCTGTACATCCTCAACATGACTTCCCAACTCCTATACTCAAAGGTTTGAGCAATAAAGACAAATGTGCTAAACGCTTTCTTAACCACCCTGTCTACATGCAATGCAAACTTCAAAAAATTGTGAACTTGAACCCCTTAGGTCTCTCCATTCTACAACACTAACCAGCATTGATCCCTGTGGCACACCGCTGGGCACAGGCCTCCAGTCCGAAAAACAACCTTCCACCACCACCCTCGGTCTCCTACCATTAATCCAATTTTGTATCCAATTAGCAAGCTCATCCTGAATCCCATGTGATCTAACTTTGCTAATTAGTCTACCATGCAGAATATTGTCAAAGGCTTTACCAAAGTTCACTTTTCAGACTGGAGGCCTGTGACCAGCAGTGTGCCACAAGGATCGGTGCTGGGTCCGGCAGCATCGGAAGAGCAGGAAAGTTGACATTTCGGTTCCCTGCTCCTCCGATGCTGCGTAGCCTGCTGTGTTCCTCCAGCTCCATTCTGTGTTGTCTCTGACTCCAGTATCTGCAGTTCTTGCTATCTCTTGGTGCTGGGCCCACTGTTTTTTTTTTGTCATTTACATAAATTATTTAGATTTGAACATAGGAGATATGGTTAGTAAGTTTGCAGATGACACCAAAATTGGAGGTGTAGTGGACAGCGAAGAAGGTTACCTCAGACTACGATGGGGTCTTGATCAGATGGGCCAATGGGCTGAGGAGTGGCAGATGGAGTTTAATTTAGATAAATGTGAGGTGCTGCATTTTGGAAAGGCAAATCAGGGCAGAACTCATACACTTAATTGGGGAGTGTTGCTGAACAAAGAGACCTTGGAGTGCAAGTTCATAGTTCCTTCAAAGTGGAATCACAGGTTGATAATATAGTGAAGAAGGCTTTGGTATGCTTACCTTTTTTTAGTCAGCGTGTTGAGTATGGGAGTTGGGAGATATCATAGAATCATAGAATCCCTACAGTGTGGAAACAGGCCCTTCGGCCCAACAAGTCCACACCGAACCTCAGAGCAGCCCACCCATACCCATCTCCCTGTAACCGACCTAATCTACACATCCCGGAACACTATGGGCAATTTGGCATGGCCAATCCACCTAACCTGCACATCTTTGGACTGTGG